CAGCAGACTGTACTGAACTTCTTTCTTGAACAGGCCTTGTCAGTCAATAGCATGTCTGTACATAGTTTTGATTTGCACCAGTGAAATTGCTGATGACTGTTTGTTTCGATATTATTAACTGGTATATATTTATATTTTTTAGCAGACACTCTTCAGCAGAGACATTCTTAATGTTCCTAAGTGATCCGAAAATTTTGCTCAAGGAATCCTGAAACATAAATTGTCGCTGTTAACATGTGTCAAAGTTGTCATTAGTACATCCTGTTTCTAAAACTGTGCAATGACTTTTAACCCAGTCCAAAACACCAGATCACATGAATTCCCAAAGTAGGTAGCCTGTATAGAAGTTTCCACATCCAGCTGATAGCAAGTTTGCAACATGTGTAACTAGCCTGCAGTGATAGTAGTTGGCAAGAAATTGATGTCTAGAGTAGCAATAAACATTGCTAGTAAAACAAACTTTATGAAATTGACTCCAAAGCCACACAAGGGTGCATGTGAATGCGTGAAATTGATACCACTACTGTTTTCTTGAGAAGAAACTGACATCAGCAATGACTTTCAGATTCTTACTTCATTAGGTCTTCACTTCTCCAGTCTAACCCCTTTAAGAGTCTGAGGTTCATGGGGAAATTAATTGGAAACATTTTTTTCACAAAGAGAAATAATATTAAAGGATTTCATTATCCAACTTCTGTAAAAATCAATGGCAAAATTCCCTTTTGAATTGTAAGAAGAAAATTATCATCTTCAATGTTTGTAGCTACCAATTACCATAAGGATTAATCTTAGAGGTTTAGAAGAATTTCCCCTAAAGCAGGAAAAAACATCAAAAAGGCAATGTGTGAGGCAGCAAAAGAAAAAAAAAAAAAAAAAAGAAAAAAGAATAACTGCAAAGCAACCTGCATTTTTCTATAATCTCTATAATGAGGATGGATTTGAAAATACCAATTTAGCTTGTTGTGTATAGGCTTGTTGCATACATTTATTACCAAAGAGTAGTAAATTACCAGTTTTCCTTATTTTCCCTTATTTTCTCAACCAGGATCGGCTATATATTGAAAAGTTTCTTTCTAGGACTTTGAAAGTCACTTAGCACAGGAATGATTACTTCCACTAACACATGATTCTATGACAGATACTATTGATACAGAAGTAAGGAAAAAAAGCAAGGTCGTCATAAAAAATTACTTTGTCTTAGGTTAGTTTTTGATGTAAAAGATACTAGGGTTACTCACACTACTCACTGTGCAATTCTGGTAGAACCTGAGTGATATTCACTGTGGAAGGTTTTCTTCTGTATCCTTTACACAAGAACACTAGCCAGCACTCTCCAGATCCATAATTTAAAAGCCTTGATCTGTGCTTTTAATCATAGTTTGGAGGCCAGAGTTAGAGGGACAGTGTGTGCCATGTCTTTGTTGGGGCTGCACTCTCCAGATCCATAATTTAAAAGCCTTGATCTGTGCTTTTAATCATAATTTGGAGACTAGAGTTAGAGGGACAGTGTGTGCCATGTCTTTTTTGCGGCTGGGCTCTGTTCAGGCCCTGTGCACAGAGGAACAGCTTCTGTGAAAAGTGGACTTCTGAGAAATGCTGTGGTCTGAGAGACTTCCCTTGATGCTGTTTGTCTTTTATAGTTTTTGTCTTGGAGCCCAGCCAGCTTAATCCTGGATGAGATGTTGTAGAAGTGGCATCAGGTGTTGAGAATCTCATGTCCTGGCTCTGAGGCCTTTGCCTCTTTCCTGCTTAAGTCAGGCAGTAAACATGACTTGTTCTGAGCACCAATAGTATGTGCTTTGGGTTTTTACTATCAGAAATAGAGTGTACGTCACTGACATTTAGTCTCCCGCTTTGATGCCCCAGGAGAAGCCTTTATTTCCCATGTCCTAGACTTCCCTTCATACAGAACCTTCAATCATTTTGTTCATTAGCTTGGGACGTGAGGCTGGGTGATGTTTATCTCTGTTGTCTCCAGGCTGGCCTAACAGCCAAGTAGGAAAGCTATAAAAGAGGCTGGATGTCCAGAGTTTCAACTCCTGGCACAGGTCTCTTTAGCCTTTTGCCTCAAAGCACAGAAAAATAATCCCCTAAATCAGGTAAGGCTCCCATGTGGGGTCATAGAGTAGTACGTGAACACTGGGAGAGCTTCTTATGGAGACCTAGTGGCATAAGTGTGAATGTAAAAGGAATATTCCAGGGTTGCCATCAAGTCCTCCAGCCAAAAATACGGTGTCTTGGTGTCAGCTGTCCTTGATGGCACAGTTTTTGCGAGTGCCCTAAAAGTATTGTAAATGTTTCCACTGTCACTGGACAGGAGTCCACAGAACTCCAGAATGCTATGACTAGATTGCTTCTGAGACCTGAACTGTATAGCAGGGATTCTTCTCTTTTTAATCCAAGCAGTTTTGCTGACATATTTGCTTCTACGAATACTGACTGAACTAAACAAGTTCACAGACTGCTTGTTTTGAATGATTGTTTTCTAGTTTAGTATACAAGAATATCTAAGTTATGGCATGCTTGGTTTTGTTTTGTTTTGCTTTTTGTCTGCTTTTTGCATCATTCACACTTTCATAAGAAGGAGGCTAAAAGATTGAAGAGATTTCAAGATGGCCACACAAACACTTCTGGTGTAGAGTTTACTATGAAGACATATTTACACAACTGTCCAGAAGTCCTTTGCATACTTTGAACATTCTTTGATGAACTTGAAAAAAAATTAAACTGCATTTTCCCAGGCAATGAATAAAGGGGCTGCAAACAACATCAAAGCAAATGTGTGTGTGGTTTATACTTAAAGCATTGCAAATACCTCTTTCTTTTTTTTTTTTTTTTTTTTTTTTAACAGAAACCTCCCAGCTCTACTCCTGCTAAATTCACTTAAAGCCAAATAAGGCATATTTTGGTGCTATGTATTTTTCTAAGCATTTCACAGTTTTTTGGGACATTATTCTAACATCTGTTTTTATTTCCTTGTTAATTCCTTTTCCTGACTCCGAACCTAAAATATTCAGGAAAGTATGATTTCAAGGATAGGATGTTTGTATGCTTTGAAAAAGCTCCATCTTAGAGTTTGTTAAGATATACTCTTTATCTCAAAGCAGAACAATGAGAATGAAAATCAGAAGGCCATATATATAATGCAGAGCGAATACTTTAATGTGCAAATATACTGTCACTGAGAAGAGAAAAGCAGGAATGTCAGTCAGAAGACTTTCAATCTGCACACAAAACATGATGCGTTGAAGAGAAGGTCCTGGAGAAAGCTGTTTTAGGCTGTGACAACAGTGCCTAAGGAAAGGATTTTAAAGTAAACAGTCGTGCTATGTAAACCCCCAATTTTCACAACTGCAAGAGATTCCTCCCATAGTGGAGAAAGAACTTATACAGGGATTTAACCAAAAAAAGAAGCTACAATAAATCAGGCCTCATATGCACCAACCCTTTTTCTATACTACTATTTATTTAATTCTGAAGTGTAAATCACAGTTAGATTTATTAGTTTAATCTTACTGGGATTACTGCCTTTGCATTTGGGCAGCATGCTTTTTGGTCTCTTTCCTCTTCTTCTACTCCTCATTAGTTTTCTGTGGTAACAAACCTCCCTCCCTTCCCTAAAATATTACTTTAAAATAATGTAACATTTTTACAAGGAAATGATCCAGTCTCAGAAGTAACATTCACCACTGATGCCTCCTACTTTCCATGGAAGACACTTTTAGGCAATTTGTTAATTCCTCAGCACCTTGGAGGAAAAAAGTCAACCCTTTTCAGACTCTGTTTGTGCCCAAATTAAATTTATTCATATGAGGTAGATACTGAAGTGCCATTGAAAGAAGGGGGAATTAAGGATATTCTGCCCACCTGAAAACTGGAGAATCTTGCTTGGTGGTTTTCTGCTACATTATTCCAAGCATCTCTAGATCACTGAGACTTATCAGAAAACCACAGTTGTGTCAGCATTGTGCTTTTGCAGGGTGATATTGGTTCCTTAGCTACTTAGAAGGTATTTTGTTTGCATCTGCATTTGTCTTGGTCATCCTATGCCCTAGGAAAGAAGCATAATTCACTCAGAAAATGATGTGGTCTTTTTGTTTATATCATTATACTGTGGATGCTGAGCTGAATTTTGTGGTTCTAGGAGTCTAGTACTGGGAACAAGATGATACAAAATGTGCCATCTACTTCAAAGTGAGAAGGTTTTCTTCGGTTTGTTGGTTGGCTGTTTTTTTCCCCTGTGGAAACATTCAGGCCTATTAGTTGTGTATCTGTTCTATCAAGCACGGAGAACTCAGGAGGTCTGTACTTCATTTCAATACTGCTTGTTCTTTAGGACCAGTGGACTAGTGTCATCTTTCTCCCAAACTACTTTACCCAAATTGCAAACCCAGGGGGAAAAAAAAAAAAAAACAAAAACAAAAAACAATATGACTCTCATTTGCTAGGACTTCAAGAGGAAGATTTCTAACTTTGGAGGATATCAGTGGCACAGGGAGGGATGAAAATGCTATATGATACTACAGGCTTATGCATCCACAAAGATACGTATTTTGTTCCTGCTCTTAGATTGCCACCCAGTTTTCTGAAGGAAGCTGGGAAGAAACACTGACATCTTGTAGATTTTCTCCTCTTGTTTGTTTGTGTATCATTTTCCTTACAGGCAAAAGGTTGGTGAAGAGCAGGACAGTCTTAATCAGTTAATTATGTAAAAATGCAGAAGAATACACCTCGAGCCCTTTGTGCTTTATTAAATGTATTATTTACTTTGGCTTGTGTTTGTGCTAGAGACTAGAAGCATTATTAGAAATATTCATAAAGCACAGTGACAAACCTTTCTTTCAGTAGCCTGGTTTTGTGATATCTATTACTAGGACTAAAATGTGAAGTGGAATTTTATGGGTTTTGTAACCCATGAGGCTCATCAACTATTTGCTGTCAGCTGTATTTACCAGCTCCCTTCAGAAGATATCAAAAAGCATTGCATATTTCTCTTCCAGTTATCCAGTTTGGCTTTGTCACACTCTTTGTTGCCTCCTTCCCTCTGGCACCTCTCTTTGCTCTTCTGAACAACATCATAGAAGTCCGGCTAGATGCAAAAAAGTTTGTTACTGAACTGAGGAGGCCAGACACAGTAAGAGCAAAAGATATAGGTAAGTAATGGAAAAAAAAAAATACAGTGAAGACAGCACAAAACATTCAGTACAAAAGAAGAAAAATTGTAGTAGATCCATTAATAAGTTCTGTTTTTCACTTGCAGGAATTTGGTATAACATTTTGAGTGGTATTGGAAAGTTTTCAGTTATCATTAATGTAAGTATTTGGTTACACCAGTTTCTAACCGTGATCTTAGGAGCTTATATTGTCCCTCCAACATAATTTAAATGTGAAATCTAATTTTATCAATTGTAAAATCTAAATTATCCAGTTCATTATTGTGCAAGTGTCAAGCACGAGTTAATTATAAACGAGGTAACCATTCACTCATCTCATTCTCTCTACCCTTCTGTTATGTAGGACATGAAGACTAATTCTTATAAGAAGTATTTCTGTAAGAGTAGCTTTCTGTTTACATACTCCCCAAGCTACAACATCTTAATGGAAAAATATATCATAGAACAAGAATGAGTACATGAACATATATATATATATATGTTATATATATAAAATCTGGTGTACAGATATATTATGTTTATTGTTCTACATGTATTCCTTAAGTAAAATTTTCCTGTATATGCTTTAAGATAAAAAAGACTTGTATCCTAGGAGTTTAATCAATGCTATCTAGTGGGGTTCTGACCCACAGATCATAGAATCGTAGAATCATTTAGGTTGGAAAAGACCTTTAAGATCAAGTCTAACAGTAAAATACCAAAGACATCAACGCACTTTAGAAAGGTGGGTGATTGTCACTACTGAAGGGGAAACTTGTGCAGAGGTGTTATGCAATTTATTTGGTACAATAGCTTCTAGCACAAGAGCACTCTGTAGCAGTATGTATGCTATCGTTACAAATGGGAGAACTATAATGCCTCCAGAGGATCAATGTTGTTTGACCTGGGTGGAGCACTGTTCACTTATGGCTCAGCAGTTTCCAGGATTTAAGGTAGGAAATCTGTGCAGCCCTGCACATATCCATAATTTTGCTATCAGACATAGATTTCAGGTTTCCAGAACTAATCTGTGCTGGATGAGCAAAAGTCTGCAGCCTCCTCGATTTTATCTGAATACACTTGACAGATTTATGATCCTTGACTGTTTTCTGTGTCAAACAAACTCTGAACATTTTTATTTCCTTGGGATTCCATTAAAATATCAGTTAGTTACTTTTTCTTGACAGAAATGCAAATATGTTCATAACCAATTTAAAAAAAAATACTGAGTGCTCAGTTCTGCTTCTCCACCTGAATAATACTGATGCAGAAAAACTATTTAGCAAACTGTAATTTTAAATTAATCCAATGAATTCTTATTTGTATGATCTAGATACATCTGTGTCTGATTCACTTCACAATTATACCCCAGTTTTATACCAGCATGAAATCCACCAATGTCAGATGTGTAAATCCTGACGCAGAGGGGAAAATGGAGGATGACTACCTTACACTTAACTGGTTTATCTCTGATAACACTATGTAACTACACCAAATTATAGTCCAAATTATACCAGCTAGCTATTATGTCTTCTTGTAGTTGTTTTTTTGTTTTTTTTTTTTTTTTTTAAACTAGTGATAGACCTCCTAATGGCTCCAGGGATGGAAAGAGCTGGAGAAATGTACAGTACATTAATTGCTTTTGCTACTCTATCAGACGTATTCCACTTCCCTAAGTACAACCTTCCCCTGGAGAGACAGAGCAGGTTATTGTGCATTTATATAAGTATACTATCTGCACCAGGTCTGGCCATTTAAATTTCACCTTATCACCACTCTAAATTTAATTGAACATTAAAATTATCACCTGAATTAACGTAATCAGAAACACATTAGACATTCATGAAGCTGGTTTTTGGTTGTTATTTTTTTTTTTCCTCTCAGGCTTTTGTAATTGCTGTCACATCTGATTTCATTCCACGCCTTATGTATCAATATGCATATAGTCAAAATGGAACCATGCATGGCTTCATCAATCACACACTTTCATACTTCAACGTCAGTCATCTCAAGGCTGGAACGCAGCCAGAAGACTCCCTCCTTGCACATGATGTTTCATTCTGCAGGTAAAGTACTTCTAATGATAGTTTGCGTAGTCAAAGTAATTTCTTTGGGTCTTTTGTCAGACAAAGTTTTTCCAAGTGGGAACTAATAATATTTGTGCCTTTAAGGTGTTTTATGAGTACATCTTTTACAGTATTCTCATCATGTCAGAAGGCTTTTAGGTGTTGTATTTTTTGGCTTTCCAGTGCATTAAATGACAAAATAAACAAGTTAGGCAGACTTACACAAACTAAAAAAAATTCCTTTCTTTATTGAAAGACAAAACTTTCATTAAAAACAATGAGTTTTTAAAATGGACACCACTAATTAGAATCAGGCTTTCTTTTTCTTTATTAAGTTCGGTGTTTACTTAACAAGATCTGAGTTTTCAGTATTTTCTGCCCATCTTTAAAACCTGCACCATTCCCCAGCTACATGTTTTATATTTCAAATTCACCATTTCACACAGGGGAAACAAGGCTCAACTTCCTTTAAAATACGTCCAAAATGTCTAGTCCACTCCTCCCATAGTGCAGATACCTATAGCATAGTTCCAGTTTGCACGAGAAATTACTAACATAATTCTAGGGCTCTCAAAGTAACCTTGCCTTTTTATAAATATATGCAGAAATTCAAAGAGCTGTTTTAAGACAGTAAAACCCAATGCTGTTCAAAACTGAGCTCCTCAGGTCAGTGTTATATTTAACAACCTGCCTCACCTTCTTTTTGGACTCCCTTGAAATCACACTGGGATTAGCCTTTGCAATGGCAAGAAATGATCACAGAACCTGGTCTTCCATTTTCTTTGGAAGAAGAGTCTTCATTTATATGGCTTTTACTACACACAGGTCTTTAATTGGCCTCTCTTGTTTTGATGCATAATACATTTACATGTGTTCACTGTCTTTTTCTGATGCATGGCAAGGTTTTTGAATCTAGTAATCCTGATAGTTGCCATCTGAACCTGTCCTGGTTCTAAAACTAGTTTCACTTCTGTCTTTCCTGGTGACCTTTCTCAAACTCAGGCCTTTGCTCTCATGCTTTCATTGTGTGAAAACTCAGAGAACAAATTTTTGCTAAGATGCCAAAGGTGGGATTCTCAAAATCTATCACTATATTCTCTCAGCATCAGTGTCAAAACAAGGGCACAAAATCAGTTACCAAGCAGAGCAGAATGATGAGACAAATCTCACAGGTGACACTCACATACCATCTAGCATGAGATTTTCTTGCAGTACTGGTTAATTGAATGCTCAGATACTGGCAGAAAATAATGCTGATTTTGCAAATACTATCAAGTAGTGTTTTCCAGTTAGAGCTTCCAGATTCTTTCTTCTTTCCTCCCATTCACTTGAATTCTTGGTCTTTGATAAATCTGTGTTCAAAATGCAGATGGATTTCTTCATTACTAGTTCCAATGATCTCTGCATTTCTGCATATCTGATATAAAGATTTTCTTAAAGAAGAAAGGACTTTTTACACGGGCATGTAGTGATAGGACAAGAGGTGATGGCTTTACATTGAAATATGGTAGATTTAGATGAGATCTAGGGCAGAAATCCTTCCCTGTGCGGGGGGTGAGGCGCTGGCCCAGGGTGCCCAGAGCAGCTGTGGCTGCCCCCTCCCTGGAAGGGTTCAAGGCCAGGTTGGACGGGGCTGGGAGCCCCCTGGGCTGGGGGAAGGGGGCCCTGCCCGGGGCAGGGGGGGTGGAACTGGATGATCTTTAAGGTCCCTTCCAACTGAAACCATTTTATGGTTCTATGAGATTGTAATTACAGAGTAGATAGCGATAGATAACACAAATGGAACTTTTTAATGGGATTACCATTAAATTATGACTATTAGTCTCTCCTGTAAATCTACAGGAACAGTTCTCAGTGTGACATCGAAGGCTTGTAACTAAAGCTAGCTAGGATGCACATTTTTGTCTTGGTCTTCATGTTAAGTTGGGGAGAGAAAATATTTCAAATAAATCAAACATTTTGATTAAAAAAAATAAAAACCCCACAGAATTCAACTAATTTTAAGTATATACTGATTTTACCTTTCTAGAAATAAATTAATTTAGAAACAGTCACTTAAAAGCAAAGAAAGAAACTGACTTTGTAATTATGCTTTTAACAGGTGATGTAAATTGCCTTTCAGAACAGTTTACTTCTTTTCAGTGATTATATAAGGGATCATATTCTAGCTAGGTTCCTGAAGTAACTGAAAACCTCCCCTTGCTTCTAAATGACTGTACATTTCTAAATGTAAACTACGTACCTATCTCTCACAAAATCAAGGTTTTTTCCATTCTGATTTTATTAGGGAATAAGACATTTTTGCTCAAATAGCTTGAGAAGGGGTAGATGGAAGTTCTTCAATGAGGCCTACAAATCAACACCCAACTTACAGAATGTATTAAATATAATAATATAGTAATTTTAAAGAAAGAAGTCTTAAAGCTGGCATTATTCAATGTAGTTTGCTCATGTCTACCTCCTGCTCCTGTGCAAGTAAACTTTAATCATACTCAGGATCCCACTGATTTTAAGCAGGATATTTATCTCACCCAGCTATGACCTACAAAAATTATGCATCTCAGTTCCTTCACTGGAAGCAGAGTAAATCTGGAGAGAAATCTGGCCCTCTAACTCAGGCACTGCTCTTGGGATTGCCTTTGGGATGTACCTACCGTCTTACTTTGACTACAAGAGAGGCTAGATGAGTACACAGATAAGATTCTTAACTTTTAAGCAGGTAAAGAGAGAGCATATAACTCAGCACAACCATTTCCTGTTGTCAGGAACTTTGTTTAAGGAATCTCTGCTGCCTCTTGGGAGGAGGTCAGATAAGAAGTAAGGGCAGACAGAAAGGAAAAAATAGCTCTCCAGTGCTTAAAGCTGCATGCTGTGCTCTATCTGCTGCTTTGCTTGTGGCAGATAGGGTAAAACACCTTAAACCTGGGGCCTGTCCTCTTTCTTTTCTCAAAATGTTGTGTGCTGCGAGCCCTATTCCCCATTTCAGTATGTTGCTAGGGTTTATTTCTTAGTATAATGTTACATGTGAGAGTATGCAGTATCTGTACTTTCTGACAGACTTGTAAGTCTGTGAAATGCTTTTCTGCTCTCAGTTCCTAGCCCTATTTAATTTGTATTGCCAAATTAGCCTGTGTTTTCCTTCAACGGGCATCTCAGTCCCTATGGGTCTCCTACTTCACTGTGACTTTGCTAGTTTCACTTTGGTACTGTTTACCTGGTCTCAGTCTCTGGTCTCTGCTTATGGTGTCTGACTGCCAGTGTATTTGGAAATGTGTGCATAAACAACAGTGATGAAATGCACTCCTCAGATTAGCATGGATTCAACAGAGCCAAAATAAAGGGAGAAGGGAATAATCCACATTAGGTATAAAAGTGGTGTCTGCTTGATAATATCAAGTCTGTGTTTCTTTTATAAGAAAAAAGAAAACATTGATTGCAAAAAAGAAGCATATGAGTACTACCAGTCTGAATGAGAAACGACTATGAGAGCGTTTCTGTTGCATTATCAGGAAACAGTTAGGCAAAGATGTCAGCATCCAACTTCACTGTTTCTCATTATCACCCGCCTCATTTGAATCTTATCAAAATCTCAGTTTTGGACAGAACTATCACTGTGATAAAATATGGCGTATCTAGCTCATGTCCCAAGAGATAGGCAACAAACACTGTCCCTTAAGATGGAAATAAAATATGTTTTTCTGTTTCTGGCAAATACGTTGGGAACAAGATGACCTCTCTTATTCTTAGATTTCTGTGACCTCTGGAGATAAATGTGGTTACAATAAGCCTCCATTTTGCTCCTTATGGGCATTGCCAGAGATTAAGGTATCTTAAAAATAACCATAACAAGCCAGAAACAACTCTCCCACCAAACATCCAGATTACATTCTTTGAATATTTTGAGCAACATTTTCTACAATGCTACGAACTCTGTGACACTGCTTCCAAATAAACATTGCTGTAACGCCATTCTGACGCATAGCATTAGTTATAATGATTTTTTTCAGAGCAGAACAACATCTCTGTAGCTGAAGGCAAATTAAAAGCAATCCTTGCTAAGTTATGTGACATTTTTATTGGTTTAGCCCTTTTAATCTTTATAATCTGGTATGATAATGGAGTACATGAAAGCATGCTGATAACACTGAAAAGAAGCAAGCAGAATATACGGAGTCATTAAAAGGACTTTTCCCTTAACACAAGTCTGATCCAATATTCAGCAAATTTATCAAGTGTCTTTGAATTAATTAATTTTCTTAATGCCTTGGGATTCATCTCATCTATTCCCAGTGATCTGTGGTGGATTCTAACATTTTTCCCTGGACAATCCTTATATACTCCTGCACTGCTGAAGCACTACTTCCTAGTCATTCGGTCATGTTTTCTTCAATTTCATGTCAAAGACAGCCTGAAAAAAGAAATTAAACAGCTCAGCTTATTTAGACTGATTTGCGATTCCACCTACATACACATTTTGATTTTTTTCTACCAGTCTTACTTTTTCCCCATATAATATACTTGTGAATATACTAGCACATTTCTATTAGCTCTGGCTTCAGTTCAGTTTTGTCTGTCTTGCCTGGTCCTCTCCATCCATCCCCACCTCCTCGATATTTCTGTACTTTCAGTGTGCATTTTTATTTTTTCCCTCAGAACTTCTCTGTACTCTATTCTTAAACCACACTGACTACTTCATATTCTTGTCCTTTTTTCAGTGGAATTAAAGTTGTTATTTGTGAAACACAACAGTATTTGCAGCACCACTTGTTTGCTGTTCCTACCATACCTGCTGAATCAAATATTTTAAGAGTGAAGAACTGAAGAGGTGAAGGAAAAGATGGTCTTTAAAAAATAAACTACCTCTAGAATATAGTGGTTAGAAAAGTCCTGGGTTATTGCACTTTGAGGTCCCAGGTGCCATAGAATAATTAAGAAGGGAGGTGGGGAGGAGGCTCAGCTACCTTCTATATAGCTCTGACATCTCCCTTCACCATAAATCATTTGCTAGTATTCTGCTGAATGTAGATTCAGGCATCATAAGTAGTGTGATTTCCAGCTGAGCCAGGTGAAATTTCCACAGGGTTTGATGTCCTGAAACACTTAAATATTTTGTGAAGCTCGGAGTACATTAAATGGAAAACCCACCACAGTTGGTGACCCTTCCAGGGGAACCTGGGCTCTATTTCAAGACTGGGAATGATTTATAGTGCTAGGCAAAATCCACAAGAAGCTCAGTGGTTTTCCTTGGCTTTGATGTTCAAGCAGATTAAATTCAGGGGAACCGACTCTGGCCCCGCTGCGGTCCTCATACACAGATCTGAGCAACACGAAGGAGCCCACATTGTACAGAAAGGTGCCAGAGGAGGAATCTCATAGTGCAGGCGCAGCATGGGACCAAACAGAAATCCCATGTAAGACAGGATGGAGAGCTCGGCTGCTGTGCTCGTACCACTGAACGAAACAAATAATCCAAGGTCGAACACAGCCCAGATAGTGTTTCAATAAATGAATACAGCCCCTAGTTTAAAGTTTTCTCCTCCTCTTCCTCCTCCCTCTCCCCACTGTGGGTTGCACCTTTTGTCCTTTGTCTCGAGAAGGTGCAGCACAGAATTATGTTCAGCATTTCAGACTGGATTTCTTGGGGGGTGGGGGATATAGGGGGGCGGGGTTTGCAAATGTATTATTTAACATGCAAAACCATGTGGATGGAACCCAAAGGTAATTTTGGTAAGCGCACCTGCAAACTGAAGCTGACAGATTTTATATATGAACCTTCTCCATTATCCCCCAATGGAGGCTTTTCCAGTCTAATGAATCTTACTGTCAGGAAGGGTTTTGTGGTATTCAAAACAGATTTCCCTATCTTAATTTCATCCCATTACTCCTAGTCAAACACTGTGAACAGCACTAAATTATCCCTTTCAGTCCTAAGGGCACAATTTGTGAATGGTTATCATGTCCAACTGTGGCTGTTACTTACCAAAGTGGAGCAATACATGTGTTCTTCTTTAATCTTTCCTGCTGAGTCAGTCTCCTCAGCCCCTGGATTGTTTTGCTGAACTGCCTTCAATTTGTTGCTATTTTTTAATTTTGCTTTTTTCTGCCCCCCCCCCCCCCCCTTTTTTTTTTCCCCTCTGAAATCCCCACTGCTGAATGGCTGAATGCAGCATTCCAGGTGTGGCTTTACCTGAGCTGTTCAGAGAAGGGCTAATACCCCGCAGCACCATCGTGCCTTTTGTTTATACATCTACAAGTTATTCTGTCCTGCTGCCATATTTCAAACTTGTGCTAACTTGCTGGCCATCGTAAGCTCCAGGCTATTTTCATTGCATTTTCTTTCAAACTCCATCCTTTCAAAGATTCTTCAATTGTTTTATTTGTAATTATTTTCCATTTCCCCAGATTATTCTCATAGTGTTTCCTGCCTGTATTTCTTATTGCTTTCTGTGTTTCCTGCTATTTGCAAAACTTCCCAATTTAGGAGCATCTGTGACTTTTATTAGCCTGTTTTTTACTTCTAAATGATTGATGATAAAACTAAAAGCATCAGTCTTTACACCAAACCACTAAGGCTCTGTTTTATCCTGTCTAAGGCTAGACAGTTAATTTAGGAAGTGCCTTTCCCACGGCTCCCCCTGCCGTTAATGCAAAGACAGGTACCACCAAAGTGTGAGTTAGATTTTACATGAGCTGAATTATTCCCTAAATTAATCAAGGTTTAGGTGAGCTGAATGCAGGCTTGTCTCCTTTAGTCTGAAAATGCCTTTTTTGCTTTAATTTCAACCCTTTGTTCCCTGTATAGTGATATCAATTTAACATTAACAAAACAAAACAAAACAAAAAAAAGGACGTTTGTAAATCCTGGAAAATCTGGAAATTTCCAAACTTACAACAGTGTTCTGATTTTCATTACAACTGTGAAAACCAGAATAAGCTTGCTAAACTCAGTGGAGATAGTCCAGCTCTAATTCTGGAGTTGTATTTCACAGTCAGTGTTGAAGTAGGAACATCTGGAGGATTTGATTCTTTAGGTTTTGTGATTGGAAAATCATGTTAATCAAAGCAATTGGTGCAGAATGAGATTGCTGGAAGTGTGTGACAACTGAGCTGTCTCCATCAACAGGTTCAAAGACTACAGAGAACCACCTTGGTCCCAAAATCAGTATGAGTTTTCTAAACAATACTGGGCCGTCTTAGCTGCTCGCTTGGCTTTTGTTATTCTGTTTCAGGTAAGTCTGTTGAGTTTCTGCAATTTCAGTCACAGAAATATCATAATAAATGGATTGAAATCCATGTGCCAAAGAAGCCCATGTCCTGTAGAGCTTCTCTGTTTGCAGTTACCTATCCTGATGCGCTTGCACCCAGCCTGCTGAGGTGTCAGCGGCTTGCAGCACAGGTTCTCCCTTCAGAGCAATGTGGTACCCTCCCTCAGCAGACTTTCCTCTCCCTTTCTGGAAGGGAAGCCCCACAGCCTGCGCTAGCCCCTGGCACTAGCAGTGATCCCCAAAACACCCCAGGCTCTTGAATGTTACAGTTAAGTGGGCTCTCTCAGCTTCTATACTCTCAGGGCACCACTTGTAAAAAGCACATAAATACTATGTAGGTTTGTTAAATACTGTTCTTTACCCAAAGGAAGAAATAAACAGAAGGAATAAATCCTCCAAGGTATTTTGCTACTTTCCACCAGGAAATGGAGTAAATTCTCCCCAGTATGGAGATTTCATTGGCAAGGGGTTTGCTATCATGACTTGCCTTCCAAAGGTCACAAGCCTTCTGCTCTCCTTCCATGATCTGGGGTCCCTCTGCAGTCAGATTGGGCCCACCCCTCATATTGAAATCTGCCTCTTTTCTCCTCACCTGCCAAATAGTCCTAAGTGTGAACGTGACTTTCACCTGATTTATATTGCCTTCTTCTGCTTCTTTTCTCTAACTTCAGTAATTTTCCACCACTGGCTGAAAAACATTTGAAACCAACTGGTTATGCTGGGATTCAGAGTTCTGCCAGAGTACATTCCCTGGTTAATTAGCTCCATTGTCTCAGAAGGGGATGGAGGGGTCATGCTGGTAGCCTTGTCAGCAAACATTCGCACACATTTTGAGGCATTACACAATACAGTAGTTTTCAAAGCATTATCATGATAATATAAGCCCCAAAGCATAATTTATCTATGAATTTCACAAACATGCAAAATTTTTGGCCTGATCTACTTCCTGCCTCTGTGGTATGAGCATCACCTGTAATGACATTGACACTTAAGGCTCAGGGTTGTGGTTTGCACACTGCGGTAGTGTAAGAATATTCTGCTTGTCAGCAGACAGAAGGATTTGAGAACACAACGACCATTAAAGTTGTCTGCTGTCTGCTCAGGACACATTGGAAACACATGGGTATGATCATGTTGGAGGAAGCTTTCACTGACGTTGCCCTCGTAGTAATGGATTCTGAACTCAGTCTCAATGAATTTGATGTTCAGATCTGAGCATCTTTGGATGCCTTTAAAGAATACGGCTGTTTTAGCTACTTAGGCTGTGAATCATTTGATGAATCCAAGTCCTTTCCCATCTCAAACCCAACCGAAGCATGTGTTTAATTCAGCCTCTCCACTGAGGGGAAGTTGTGCACAAACATGAGCTGTTTCTTGAACTGAGGCCTTAGTCGACTGCTTAATATGACACACCGTCAGCAAAAATGTGTTTGATACCCGCCTCATAGCTATAGCAAAGATTTTCTTTCACTCTGGTGTGAGTATTTGGGATTTTTTTGTACTTGCTTCACATCTGTTGCTGTGTTTGCAGAATTTGGTGATGTTCCTCAGTGTTCTGGTCGATTGGATGATTCCTGACATCCCCAAGGACATCAGTGAACAGATCAAAAGGGAGAAGATTGTTCTTGTTGACTTCTTCTTGAAAGAAGAGCATGAAAAACGGAAGCTGATCGAAAGCTTTATTGCACGCGACAAGCAGAAAGACAAAAGTGGGACCAAAGGCGAAAGGATCCGGGCTGCCAGCTTCTGTCAGTTTAACCGAAGCCAGAAAGGCAGCTTTTCCTCCTTTAGCTCACAGCACACAGAAGTGTGACTCCCTCGGGAAGGGTAACTCACTATGCTTACCTCTGCAATACCTGCTTACTCTATGACGTGATTCTGAACCTGAAGCAAGGGAGGGAGAGATGGTCAAGGAAGAGACAGGGAACAAAAAGGGGGCTTTTTTTGCTTCCTTAGAAATTCCGTGTGCAAGGGTCTCTGTTACATTTTATATGCTATCTGGGCTGCAGCGTTTTCAGACTTTATCAGTGTAAGATAAGGGCGATATTGTGGCTGTAGCTGGTCCTTGTGGAGATTCATGTGCATTTGGTAGGCACGCAGGAATTCTCCTCACTCACGCATCCCTCCTCCTGCAGGCACCCTGTAGGGCACGGGGAACAGAAGGGATGCTCCTGCTCTAGCACCCATCTTTTGGCAGATCTGCCCGACCGTGGCGAAGTGCGAAGTGCACGCAACGCGTGGTTTTAGAGACGTGGAGCCTCCAGGAGTCATTGTGCCTTCCTACCGCACACTGCCACTTGGTGCTGTCTCTGTAGAGCATGCAGGGATGTTGTCAAGGGCACGGAGCTGTGGGAACAGAAGGAATGAAAATCACTGAGCACTTTCATCTACAGATGCGGTTGTGTTTTGCTTAGCAGGAGCTCGAATGCATGTGCTAATGAGCCGAGAGGCCACAACAAATGCATCAGAATGAAGTAAAGCTGCTAGAACCAGGGAAGCTCATTGTTATTCATTGTCCTGAACAACAACAACCAAAAAAAAAAAAAAAAAAAAAAGAAAAAAGCAACCACCCTGCATGTTTGATTATCCTCTCACTTAGACTGGGAATTCAGCCAGTATCAAGAGGAATCGCACCACTAAACCAAAACCAGTGCGAAGACGAGGGTTGAGAATGGAATCAAGCCCTGTAAATCATGTGGCATTTTCATGTACATTTTGCGTAAAGTAACAAAAGTTGCTGCTGTTGTGCATTTACTATAAAGTAAAATATTTTGCAGAACTGCATTTATTGGAAGATAAACATATTCACTAACTTTCATCCACAAGCATTTAATGAATAACATAATTCTGTTATGAATGAAAATAAAACTTTCTTAATAAGTCTGTTTCTTTTACTGTAGATTGTCTCCAGCCCAACTTGAAATTCAGAAACTGGATAAAAGATTTTCTTCTCATTTTGTCTTCCCAACAATGCTTCCCAAACCATCAAAAACACAAAGCAAAAGAAGTACCTCAGTTTCAGGCATTGTAAACAATATTTTTGGTCTTCAACATTATAGTGGTATTTTATACATTCCCGAAGCCTAAGAACTGTATTGTTCTCTTGGAAATATTTTTTTCTATGAGAACTTTTGGTAATTTAATGAGAGATGTGGAAATAATTGTGGTGTTTTTTTTTTTTTATTTTTTTTTTTTATCCAGTGCCTAAATTAAAGAAAATTAAAACAGGAGAACTCTTTCAGGGTGGCTTGAAATTAAAGGCTTAATTTTGGAGTTTCATTTTTAAAATTTCATTTAGGTTTATTTATCCCTTCTATATAACAGATCAAATTTGAAATGATAATGTCAACTTGAATAAAATTGCGAATGTTCAGCTTTGATAAAAAAAAAGTTTGACCTTTCCAAATGTTTTTTTTTTTTTTGTTGTTTTTCCCCTGTCAAAACTAATTTGCTGTGTTTTAAATGAAATCAGAGAGTTCTTCCCCCTTCTGAAATTGCTGTTTGTGTTTTTTTTTTTTTTTTGAATTAATAACAATTTGCTAGGCATATTGCCCACATCTCAGTTTGACTATGTATGCTTAAGACTACACATACCGCTTGTAAATGTGAAAAACAATGTGTAGAATTACAATATTTCTCCCCTCTTTATATCAGCATTATCTAAAACAAGCTATTTGAAGAGCTCCTGACACAATGTACTGTGTATAAACTATTGACTGTGTATACACTTGGTGTTTCTAATTTACCGAGATAGGAAAACGATAGGAAAGTTGTCTTCTTCATAAATACAATTTAAGCTTTTTCTTAGTATAAATCCCCCCCAGTCACCTGCAGTCACATGATATACGTGTTTGTTGGGCCTGCAAGTCTTGTAATCGCATCTTGGGGAGCCTCAGATGATGTCATTTGTATGACCAAAACACAGCTATTAAAATTCAGGCAGGTTCCCCCTGCAGTCACCAGAGAGAGAAAGGCACCAGCAGCCAGCTCCGCACCCCGTCTCGACACTGCTGGCTGGGGTGGGCAGGGGCACAGCCCCGGAGGGTGCCAGCCCCCTCCCCTGCAGTGCAGTGGCAGCCCCGGGTAGATGATGCTCTCGGGCTTTGGGTTGCAGAAGACGAGCACCTAACTTCCCAAGTCAGGGTGCTCAAGATGTTTATATCACTGGAAAGATTAGTGACTACTAGATTCCCAAGTCTTATTTTGTTTCATTTGAATTTTGCTAGGTGCTTGAATGAATATATTTTTTAAAATTTGGCTCCCTGCTTGAAATCTGGGGCAGGACAGAGAATAAACCTTGGTTTCTCCCCTCTAAGATTAACATTTAAATGAAGGCACTGTTTCTCCTCAAAAATAGATTGTCTCATTTTACTTTCAAAAGACCAACAAGCCCTGTTAGGGATTCTATGGTCTAATTTATTAAGACAGTCAGTATTAATGACATCTATTCCCTCATTTACACTAGAGGGTATTCTGGTGGTGGACTTGGGGGTTTCAACTGTGTTTGCTGTTTACAACTCTAGCTGAATAAACTACAATCCATTTTCTTCACTCTAAAATGCCTCTGATGGGGAGAAATGATATGTTTCCAAACAGTAGAAACATCAGTCTTGCCAGACCTTTAGAATATCATAATGCTCCCTTTCTTTTTCCAAGTATGTGGGAGCGCATGCACAAGTGGGATTAGAAAGAAGCTTACAGGTTGCATGGTGCCCTCTTTTCCAGTGGCTTGTTTGGTGAAGGATATTCAGAGTTAAGGCTCTTCTTAAAATAGAACCATTTTTCTGCACCCTCCCTCTACCCAGGAAATACGCTCTTGTCGTTTTAAAAACTGTGAGTCACTCAAAAATAGTTAGAAAAACGCAATCCCAAAGTCGAATGCATTAGGCTGATGTTACACAGAATTTCCATAACAAGCAACTGAAATGCTTGCTATGGTCCAAAAACGATAATGTGTTTCTAGATTTCCTAGCAAAAGGAACTAGAGAAGCCGGCAGACGTACACTGATGCTGCAAAAGTTCTCTTGAGGTTTATATATTTCACCCAAACAAGTCTGGGAAAGCGGCATAGCAGCAATCAAGGCTGACGTCCAGATGGGATCTACCATGATATCACAAACAGGACAGACAGCTCAATTATCTTTATCTGTGATATGGTTTCTATTTTTCTCTTAAACTTGAGAGTTTCATTCACTGAGAATTCCTGCATGTTTGGTACTTCATTCAGGTGCAGTCCCTGAGGATTGCATCCTTTGTTACATTTCTATGGCAACCTCTGGATTCTCCTGACACTGCTTCCCATCGGCTTCTGTAATTGTAGATCACTGATTGGGCATTCATTCACTCCCAGTTTCTAACTTATCTCTTTTGGACAAAGCAAGACTTTATCTGATCCCTTTTTATCATCATGATACTCGTAAGTCTACCCACAAAGCCCCCCTCTTACCATAACTTGTGCCTCAGAAGCAGAGAAAGACTGTTTCAAGAGACATGCATGGAAAGTTCTCTCTTGGGAAGAAGAGAACGGGGATGCCTGTAGAAGCACAAAGGTAATAAAACCTGTGAGCTATTGTCACTCCTTGCTTTAGCAATGAAAATGAACTAAAATCTCTGCAAAAGAAAGGAAAAAAGTAAGCAGAGAAGAAATTGCATAAATGTTGATGCACATTTGGTTCAGAATTTCATAGCCCTTTGGACTCTTAAAACTATAAAGTAAGTGAAACTCCCATTTAAAACAAACAAGAAAACAGATGAAAACCCACATGCCTTTGTGTAGCTAATACCACACTGAGTACTACATGTAGCCACAAACCACCAAATCCACACTCTAAGCTTCATGTGGAGTCACATTAATCAGAATGTACGTAATTGTACATCTAATCAGAACAGTGCGAAGAGGAAGTAACGAAAGGGAGGAATCGGGCTTGTATAAAGCCTTAACGCAGATATAATTGGATGTGATGCTGCAATTATCAAGCAGTGTAAGGTGTGTCCCCCTCTCCGTGGCCAGCAGAAACTCATGGCGACTGAAAGAATTTGCCGCTTCATTTTCCACAGCTTCTCCTTTGGACTATTGGTGCAGGGTAATTTCAAACAGCTTTCAGAAGTTATTCGAGAGGACTTGACTCAGATTGAAGGGGCTCCCTGCTCCCAAGTCATGCTATGTTTAAATGCCATCAGTTACAGAATCCATCCAATCCACACAGCCAGATGAACCCTTCCACGGTGGTCACCTAGGTTTGAAGAGGGTTTTCAGGAACAGAGTGAAGCTGTAGGAATGTTAGGCCTTTCTACTATGTCTCCTTCATACAGATTTGCCCATTTTTTAAAAACCATCAGCACTAGATGCTTTTTTTTGTGATGGGTATCATTGGCTTTTCAGTCCTCAGTATTCTCAGTAGGTAGAAAATACCACGATCTAGACCTCTTCTGCAATTTGACCTTTCATGACACTCAGAACTAATGAAATGTAGCCCAGGAAGAAAAGGGTAGCCTATGAGGAAGTATGTCTGTTAAATTACTGCTTGGAAATATCCAACTCAACATGCACAATATTTACCACTGTTAGCAATAAACTCTTCTGACTACAATAATATAACATCTGTTGCTGTTATGCAGTCTCACCCTTTAATTAGGCACAGATGGTCTTCCTATTCCCCGTCTGGTCTAATTCTTTTGCTTTTGAGAAGAAAATATAAACCAAATTTGTTTGTGACTTATTCTTGTAGGCAAATCCCTCCACACCATATACTAGTTAAGACATCTCATGTGTCCAGTAACACAAGATTTTCAGATAATACTAGTAGAAAGTGCCTTTATTGCACTTAGAGGTAAGGAGAGAGGAGGAGGAAGTACACCTGAACTCCCAGTTCATACCCAGTAAAGGACACTGGTACATGGTTCATCTGAAAATCCCACAGACAATAGAAGTTGAAGAGTACTTTTAGCAAGAAAATGAGTATAGGTTCTGTATGCCTTATGTACAAACTTTTCAAGGAAGGTTCTGCTTTAGTTGTTTTCTAAATCTGCTTCAACCCTTCCTAAATCCCTTTGTACTACCAAAACTCTGAATATCGCCTACAGTTCCCCTCCTTTACCCATCATCTGCAAATGTACTCAATTATTAATTGATTATTAAATTATTAATCACAGCATTAATTAACAGGCTTCCTTACTGCTTCTTTCACACTGTCAATGGAATTGTTAAAATTAATCAGATTCTGTAATAACTCCTGAGACATCTCGATAATACACTTTATTCATACATAATGATCTAATGAAACCTTTTTATTTACATTTATTTTCAGTCTGTCGGCACAATCCTGCAGCATTACTTTTCCTGATTCTTAAGAAAGTCACTAACAGTTACTCTTCTACTCATACATACAGCATTTTCTAAGCTATTCCCGCTGATATCCTAGTTCTACAGATACATTTTTAATGAGCAAAATGATTACTATCACAGGATTATATCATGTCTGTCTCTAATGTGGCCACCTGAGACAAAATCCCCAGGTTCTAAGCTCTCTGGAATCAGTGGAGGTCTTTCTTTTAGCTTCAGTATCCCCACATTCACATCTGTGAAAAACTACATCCACAGCAAACTCTTGCCATGGTCTTCGATGACTCCCACTATAGCAATGCTATGGAAAATGTAGGCAGTCAGCAGCATGAGATTTTACACTGCCTTTTGCTGAGATGGCATTACTCTTCAAAACTGACTAATAATTTTGTCTACATACATACTGATGTCTTGGGCTGGCTTTAGTAAACTTGATTTTCAGAACAGTTCCCACCCTGTGCTGCCATGTGGCATGGATTTAAGGCAGACACAACTATGATTCACTTTTGAAAACTATGATCATTGAATTTAAATATATAAAGATTTAAAAGAATTATTTTATCACTGGTATTCTGATGAAAGAGGAGGTAGGACATGATGTAGGTAAGAATGTAGGAATATTGATCCATAATCTAATTAAATCTATGTAGTTTGTGTAAGATACACAACTTCTGGTAACAGGGTGCCTGTTATCCCGTGCCATAGTGTTAGATTTCACTAAATTCAGGGAGAATAAACAGGGAAATGATGTGATCCATCAACTAGGAAAGGCTATTGCAGCCCTCTGTCTGAACCACACATTTTTGGGAAAGACTGTTCTA